AAAAAAAAAAGAGAGAGAGAGAGAGAGAGAGAGAGAGAGAGAGAGAGAGAGAGAGAGAGAGAGAGAGACGAATACAAATACGATTACGAAAGCAAACCAAACAGCCTAAATGCGATAACCAGAATTTTTCACGAAAAAACATGTCACATTTTTATGTATTATCTTTGGATGATGAATGACTGTGTCAATATTTTTATAAATTTTCCACGAATAAACGGGAAAACGTGTGAAATAAAATGTTTGCATTATTTCATTCCTCATCTGCAATCATTCATATTTTATTGCACTTTTTTTTAGACACATATTGTATCGTGAGTCAACACGTGCGAAGGTAAACAAATAATCGTGAACCACAAGAGAAATTTCAACATTTTCAATCATCAAATTTATCAATTTAATTTCACAACAATTTTTACGTCCCAAAGAAACGAAGCTTTAGGTTGTTAGAAATTAATTATTTAGGTCCCAAACTTAAGATTAGAAAATTGTAAAAAATTCATGCAAGTTCCCTATTTCATCATTTTCCATCACCAAATTTATCAATTAAATTTGGCAAGAAATTTAAGAAAATTCATGGATACCCAGTACTATTTAAACTATATTTCATGCATTATCTTTGAATGATGAATAACTGTCTCAACATTGTTCATGAATTTTCCCCGAATAAACTGAGAAACCCGTGAAAAAAAAGTTTGCCATTTCATTCCTCATCTACAATCATTTCTCTTTCACTGCATTTTTTCAGACACATCGTTTATCATGACTCCGATCTCTACAATTTCCCGGGGGATATGAATCTCTTGATTCACCAGCTTATTCGCAATTTCGGCCCCTCCCCCTCCATCCTCTCGCCGGTGCAAATCGATTATCCACGGTGGGACTGACGCCCTCTCTGTCTCTTTCTCTCTTTTTCTCTCCGAAGACGAAAACGCAGCCGAAGAAAATTTCTTCCCCCGTCAGTGTACATCCGGGACAGTGGGAAAAAAAAGAGATGAGAAAAAAAATATCCCGATGGGAGGCAGAAGCGCGAAAGAGACAAAGGAGAGTCGAGAGGATTTATCGCCGACGTAAAAGTGGCCCTGTTTATTCCCCCAAATGTGAGCCCACCAATGCGCGCAATTACAGGAATTTCCACTGGACTAAAAACACCAGAACTGCATAAAGATGAATAAACATACGTGAAATAATGATTTCAGCCGTTACGAAATGCAAAAACTAGAAATTCCGAAAAGTGTGAGGCGAAAGCGCACCCTTGGAATCCCTAAAGCATTCCTCTTCAAATACATAAATTTAATTGATTATCAATGATTAAAAAACATCTCAAGTGGATATTTTATCTACTCCATAACCTGTTGCTCTTCGGATGGCGGTGGAACCGAAAACTGCATTTGGGAATATTTTTCCAGTCGATTATATTCTATGGAATTTATGCTTTGCGCATAAATCCAATTGTAGTGAATTAGTCTTGTCTTTTTGAAACACTCAACATGAAAAAAACTAATTAACCATTAGTTGATAATAAACTTCGCCATTTTTAATCTTCAATTTGTCTACTAAATTAAATTGCATTTGAAATTTGAGGAAAATTCACGGATTGTCAGTGCCTTTTTACAAATTTTCAATCCTTTTATTAATCTTCCTTAAAAATCGAATTTTAATTAATTATTTAGAATTTTTGTCTGTTTTTTTCAACGGTTCAAAATAAATAATTCACAATGAAAAATTAAATAATAAAATGATTTTAAAATGTTATTTCCAATGGTAGTTTCGTTATTCACCGAAAAAATTCAACGAAAAGAGAAAAAAAATGGCGTAAGTTCCCCTTTCGTGTCCTGTAAAACCGCAATGGCTTCAAATTTCACGTAAGAATTTCAACCCACTGCCATTCTATTTTGTTTTTATCCATGGGTTCGCTTTAAATGCACCTTGGGCCCGTGCGGCTTCGATGCGGTTGGCCTTGGGAGTCTCTAAACCCCACCTCCAATGAACGAGTAGTCCCAGAGCCCGCCTCGTGTACTGGTGGCCCTGAGAAGGTGGCCCACGGTCAAGGCTACAACGCACAAGCCCTCACCTCCCTCCGACTCGCGCTGTTGCCCTCGCATGCATCCCAAAGAAACCCATATTCTTATCTCATCAGGCCCTTTTCATTATAGCTATTATCACAGACTAAACGCTTCGCCGTCGGTGGATCCCCCCCTTTGTTAACTATTCCGTGAATAAAAATGGATGAGTTACGCAGCTGTAAATTTTCGTTAAAAAGTCCCACTGTCTTGTTTGAATTTCCGTAATTACATGTGGACAAGGGTGATTATCGCGCCGAATACAAGTGTAAATGGACAAATTATCTGAATTTTTTTCTATTGTTCGTTTGAGGAATTGAAAAATGATAATTTTGAAACGTCGTTTCTCTAAAAATTCAAGTAAAGTTCCAATTTCTTACGGGCAAGTAGACGAAAATTCCACAATTTACATGAATTTTCAGGGAATTCCTTTCAAATTTATGACATTCCAGGAATTTTTGAAGGAATTCCTGGAAAATTCAGAGGAATCTGGAATTCAAGGAAAGATTTCTCTGAATTTTTTGCTATTTCATTAATTTTCCTGGAATAATTAAACTGAAATTTTCAAGTCCCTCGGATTTTTCCACAAAATTGTGCATTTTCAATTTCAAAATCCCTTAAAATTTCAGTGGACACGTTACTTGTTACAAATTTCCAAGACTTTCGCCGGAAATTTCAGTGGAAAATTTTCAACAGCACAATTTCACGAATAAATGATAATAAAAATGAATGATCATCATTTATTGTTGACACTCTAGCGGAAGTAGCGCCTCGTAGTGAGTCAATTACGAAGAATGCGGAGGTGTGACGTTATTTTGATAATCTTCATCAAACAAACGAAACGATAAAATTGTGGAATTTCTGACATGAGTCTTTAATTCCACTAATTTCTCCGTAAAAAAAATGCAGGAAATTCTACCACCCCGCGGCGATAAAATCCCCATAAATTACAATCAATATTGTGAAAGCCCTGATCGATAGTAGTTGCCACCGAAGATATCCCTGAAAATCATCGAGAATATGATAAACATATTATCTCCCCTTCAACTTAATTGGAGTCTCTACACCGTAGCGAGTGGCTGAACCCCCCTCTGCACTTATTCCTCATTTTCCCTCGATAACATTTATTGCCAAGCGAACGATACCATTAAGCCACTGAAATAGGCCGGGCTTCCAAGTAAAGTATCTAAATATAGAATTAATCGAACCACTGCGCGAAGGAAGTAGCAGGCCAGCATGCGTGAGTATTAGAGCGAACGAGTGGGAAAAAAATAAAAAGCAGAGAAATAACAAAACTACTTCTGATGGTGATTGTAAGTGTCTTGATGTTGCCTGACTGAGGCTCACAACCAGTCGCACTGTACTGCAGCAGCACGACCTACGCCGACTGCGGAACAGGGAGGGGAAAATAAAAAAACTTCCATTCAGTCTGAGGAGTTGTACTACAACTACGTGTCAAACTAGGAGGCTTTTCTCATCGGCGAGAAAAATTACTGCAGGGGAGGGAAAAAATCGGAATTAAAATCCGTGAATTGTGTGGGCAGGACTCGATGTACCGGTGTTCATGCCTAGTTTTTAATGGGTGAGGGAGAAGGAGAGGGAGACGTACGACGAACAACAAACCAGATCCCCTGGATGGACCGGTTCCACTCGGCGACAAAGATAACTTGGAGGGAGGGGACTTGTGCATTCAACCAACACAAAATCAGTCGGACGTACGGGTTCTGGTGTCTGATTTCAGGACTGAATCGGCTCTCAATCATGATAGAATTTTTATGGATTGAGTTGAGAGGAGTGACAGTGAGCAAGTTTTTTGTCGAATTGAGGTTGATTATGGGAATGAAGTTGGAGTGAAGGGAACGTATGGCAGGGGAAGATTTCATTCGGAGGATTTTTAATTTTTTGAAAGGGCGAATGAGTTTGCTGATAATTTGGGAGTATTTGACATCTCTAGATTCGCCTGAATGAGATCTCTCGTTTGTTTTAGCTGGAGCGAATTGAAATCTCATGGACAGTTGACTAGAAAAAAAATAGAACTGTGGATTTCATGGAAAATTCAACGACGTTGAGAATCTTTGAAATTTTTTGGCTGTAAGAAGACCACAATTCCCCACAGAATTGAATTCTCAATCAATTAAAATTTCAAGAATACATTTGCTTAAATTTCCTTCATGTCTATCAATTTTCATCAAATAAATGAACTAAAATTGACAAGTTCCACATTTTCCCCTAAAACCTTGAATATAGATAATTCCAGAATAATGATAACGCAAATTTTTCCAAATTCCAAATTCACAACATAAAATTTTAAAATCCGAAAAAACAATCACGTTTTCTTCAAACGCGCGAAATAATATTCATGCGTTTGTGAAATAACTGAACTGAAATCCAGTTTCCAGTTTTCCCTGAAATTTTCAATTTTCAATGAAGAAATCCCTCCAAATTCCAGAATTGTCAACCAAGTGATACAAATTTCTCCAAATTCTAAATTCCCCACCTAAAATTAAAAAATCGCAAAAAATAACATAACATTTTCCTCAAACGCATGAATTAATTTCCCCGTCAAATTTCATTAAATAATGAATAAATCTCTCGCCGAGCCGCCAAAATGTAAACTCACCGAAGCCGATGATCCCCGAAGAACTCGACCCTGCTCTTCTTCTTGACAAGCATCTGCGGCTGATGAAGTGGGCTGACACTGGTCTCGCTGGTAGCGGGTGGTGAGCAAGAGCCATTGCTAGAAGAAAGCGAGCCAGCGCGTCCCCTGGACTCAATCAACTGGGCCTCACTGGGCCGATTGCCATGACTGCCATGTGGTGGTCCAGCCGAAACAGCGAGACTGGGTCTGGTATTCTGTCGATTGCGTCTCTTCTTCTTCTTGGGATCGGCCTCATCATTACGGCACCCAGTAGCATTGAGCCCGGGTGGCATCCAATCGAGATCCTTCTTGAGATGTCCCCGTCCGCAGCGACAGCCGCAAGCCTTGAAAGCAAGATCATAGCCCTTTTTCGTCCAGAGATTCTGATGGCGCTGCCGCTCCGACCAACTCCTGGCCCTCCCGCAGTTCTTAAGATACGTAAGAACAGTCTGTTCCCAGGCGTCAAAGCACTCGCGATGCATGTACTGTCCCATCGGACAGCTATCATTGTTGCAAGTCACTTTGACAACGTCCTGAAGGACATTGAGACGAATCGGTGTGTCATTGCGAAGGCACTCACCAGTGGGGGTGCAGCAGTGAGTCGTCCCCATGATGCTGGGCCCATTCCCAAAATTCTCCATCGTCTCGTGATTGCCCGCCACCTCCAGGAGCCCACCGATATGACCATTACCGGCGTGACGACGCGGTGCCATGATAACACCCCACAACGACACTAAACCACAAAATTCCCTCGCACCACTGGCTATCAAGGACTCAACTGTCGATGCACTTCACAATGTCTATCAGACGTTCGCGAACCTACTGGAGCATTCCCGATATCACCAACTGTCACTCCACCATCAGCTCCCATTCAACGGATATTCACTGAGAGTTCAAGGACTTCGCGGGATTGTTTTGCTCGAAATGACGAGTTGTCGGGAGGTTCAGTTTTTTTTTTCGATCGGAATTTTGAGGTTATCCGTCTGCACAATTAGTCACGATTGAAATAAACTCGATTAATCTTGGGTTTTGTGATTGATATAACCGCACCAACACACTGGACAGCGTTCCCCGATGATTACCGGCACAGAGCGGGCACTGGAGTGGCGGCGCGCGTCGATCTTCGTTGAGGCACGACGCACGAATGTCAGGGTCACCGCCGCAGCGCGCGGTTGTGCGGCTGGGGGTATATTATCACTATTCTCACTGCTGATCTCTGCACACTGTCTCCCAGGCACCAAACACTTGTCTCGTCGCGAAAACAAAAAGCGAATTCTTTTGGGTCAATTGTTAATTAAAGTAGTGTTCTGTCGATTCACTGGGCTTTTCTCTCACGCTTTTTAATGTCTGTTTGGGGTAAAATATATAGCAGCTCGGAGGGATACACAGAGCTCTCCCTGGCACTAGTAACACTGAAGTGACGACAATACGTGTGGCATGCGGTGTGCCGATCGGTGCTACCGAGGCTCGTCTACGGGCGAGCGCGAAAGTGAGATCCCATTGGGTGAAAGCGAAAGCTGAATGGTGGGGGTCACGGCTAGTGCGCCAATCGATGCACGCCGTTGTCGGGTGTTTTGTGCCCCCCCCCCCCGCCGCTAGGCCTCACGGGCTGTCTCACTCGCTCGTTGTCTCGTTTTGTCAACTCGTCTATGAATGCTTCTTTTTGTTCGGGATGTGGCGAGGTTTCGGCGGCGTCGACCGGCGAGAGCACAATTGGAGATGAATTACGGCGGGATCTGGGGAGTAGGTGATGACATGCACAAGTGCGTTGTTTATGTTTTTGGCGGGATGACGACGAGAGAGAGGTGATTATCACGATTTTCTAGTTTGTTTGGTGGGATTTGGGGAAATGGGGGTTAGGATTCTCAGGGAGGATAACTTGGGTGTTTTGTTTTGGGGGATTGATGGGTGGAAATGGTATGAGAATTCAGGTTATTGAAATGAGTGGAGAACAGCAGTTAGGACGCGGTGGTATGTTCACGGGAATTTTTTAGGGCTTCGTTGGCAGGTGAACGATGGAGTAGTGGTGATTATTAGAATTTTGGAGGTTGTTTGGAGCGATTTGGGGAAACAGAGGTTAGAATAGTCGAGAGGGAATGCCTCAGGGGTTTTATTTTGGCGATTTGATGTACTCACTTTATTAACATGTTAATAACTGATCACAAATGAGGATGAAACTGAGGTCTTAGTACGGGATGATAAAGAAAGGTAAACAAAGGTTTAGGGGAGATTATCATGATTTTTGAGTTTGTTTGGAGTATTTAAGGGAAATAGAGGTTAGAAAAAATGCCTCAGGGGCTTTATTTTGATGCTTGAAAATAATTTTTGAGTATTTATCTTAATAGAATGTCAACTGAACACAAATGAGGATAAAACTGAGCACTCAGTACGGAATGATATAAACCCGTGCTTTGTTTATGGTTTCGTCGAGAGGTAAACAATGAGGTAATGCTGATTATCAAGATTCTTTAGTTTGTTTGGAGGGATTTGGGGGATTGATGGTTGGAAATGGTATTCTAGGGGTCAGGTTATTGAAATGAGTAGAGAGCAGCACTTAGGACGCGGTGATATGTTCACGGGTAATTTTTAGGGCTTCGTTGGCAGGTGAACAAAGGTTTAGTGGAGATTATCATGATTTTTGAGTTTATTTGGAGCATTTAAAGGAAATGGAGGTTAGAAAAATGCCTCAGGGGCTTTATTTTGATGCTTGAAAATAATTTTTGAGTATTTATCTGAATAGAATGTCAACTGAACACAAATGAGGATAAAACTGAGCACTCAGCACAGAATGATATGAACCCGTGGTTTGTTTGGGTTTCGTGGGGAGGTAAACAATGAGGTAATGCTGATCATCACGATTTTTGAGCTTGTTTGAAGTGATTTGGGAAAATAGAGATCAGAATACTCAAGAAAAAATACCTTAGGTATTTTATTTTTCGGGACTTGATGCTTGAAAATAGTATTCTAGTATTCACTTTATTAAAATGTCAGCAACTGAACACAAATGAGTGTAAAACAAACTCTCACTCTGTCCTTCACCCACAATTTATCTCTTTATCTCCCTCTCTAGACATCTGAAAGTAAATACAAGACTTTTTTCCCAACGAATTAGGGAATTAAATGGCTTTCTTGGACTGAAAACAATGGTTAAATGGCAATTATCGTGGTTGGTGAATTTATTTCGAGTCATTAGAGTTTAGAATTCTCATGAAAAAACAACATCAGGTGTTTTATTTTGGGGACTTGGCACCTTAAAATAGTATCCGACTATTCACCTTATTAAAATGTCACCAACTGAGCACAAATAAGTCTATAAAACAAGCTCTCGCTCTGTCCTTCCCGCACGATTTTTCTCTCTCCCTCTCTCTCCATCTCCAAGTAAATACGGGAGACTTGGCAGAGGATAAGTAAAGCAAAGAGCCAACTTCTTTCTTCGTTGCGTGCGTTTTTTTTCTCTCGGTGTCTTGCCTCTCCCTTCCCGTCAGTTGGGTTGACCCTCTCGCTCTTCAGAACAAGCGAATTTGGGTTCTCGTGCATCCGCAGGCCTTTTCTGTGTCGGTGTTACACCCACGAGAGAAATGGGAAAACAAGTTTTACTTGTGAGAATCTCTCGTACGTGTCCGTATGAGACGAATTTTTGGCCTCTCGTGAGAAGTTATGCCATACGTGCTACAACGACTCATCTTGAGACACTTGTTATATCGTCACGTTGAATCACTTGACCTCACGTGACGATACATATGTGTCGAGATTTTCGAAGGGGTTTCAACCATTTTTTATTGCGAAGGGCAGCATTGCATTCGTCAAATCCGAAATTTCCTATTTTTGGGGGCGTCAAATTTTACTTTACGCACAACACAGCAAAAACGAATGTCTGAATTTCACAATCATCTTGTAGACATTTTTCAGACACTAAAAAACGACTGAATAAAATGAAAAAGTGTCTGAATTTCGGACGAACAGTTGTCCAAACATCTTAATTCATGTTTAAAATTCAGACAAATTTTCATTTTATTCAGACGTTTTATAGGTCTGAAAAATGTGTGGGAAATTCAGACATTCGTTTTTGCTGTGAAGTGGGGGAAATTTCATTTAGGAACCAATACTCTCGGAAATGGAAAAAAAATTGAATGTTGTGTCAAGGTTGAAATCAATTTAAAATACATTATCAGCGAAATTCCATTCGCAAAAAATTATCAAGTTATTTGCAAAATCAATTTACCCCTTGTTTGGAGACGATTTTCAACGAGTGAATTGTTAATTCTGATCGGGATTTTTTGTCATATCTCTAACCTCACGGGTGGCTATCGTTGATATTTTATTTATAACACCCGGTCTGTGGTATTACATTGTAACCGTATACGATAGCCTCGTCGATCGAACGTCATTTACGATTCACTGGGGAAGTTGTGGTTTTTTCGCAGGCTTTATTCAAGCTGAATCCAAAGCATTGGAGAAGTCTTGGGAGGGGAGAAATTCATTTGGAATTTTTTCAGAGGTGATATCCATGTTTTTTTTCGCATGCGATAAAATTTTTTCATGAAATCTAGGGAAATTCGTTTCAAGTGTTTTTATTGTTCGCAAAATCCATTGGGAATTCAATTACATTTAAAAAAAATTTTTTTTTAATTTTCAGATCAGACAGTTATTTGTTCTGCATGAGACGACAATTCTGCCAATGAGAGGAGAAATGGAGGAGGTAATGTACATAAATTTTGTTTTATTTATTTCTTCGAATTTGATTTATTGTACAATTCAACAATTATCTAGTTTGATGATTAGATTTCTCCAAGTGTTTTATTTTTGTGTCTCTATCATTCGGTGATTTTTTTTTGTAAAATAATAGAGAAATTCGTTTTCGATTTTGAATTATTGAATTTTTCTATCAGAAACTATTTTTGTTAATTCCACAATTTATTATAATTCATCTGTATTTTTTATTTTCAAACGTTTAAAAATAATGTTCAGGTCAGGAAGTGAATTACCTTCACATATTAAGAATAATACTTTATAATTTTTTTCATTCATTCATTTGAATTGTATTTACTCTACAATTCAATAATTATCATATTTGCTGATTAGACTGGCTATTTCCAGTTTTATATTGATTTCATTATGCTTTAGGGATCTCTAATCATCAAATTAATGAATTAAATGCCGTGATAAATTCGAAAAACTCGTCCATAATCAGCAACATCCAAATAACATGTTGTCAAATTACTCAAAAATCCTCAAAACCATTTTTCTCGTGGGTATTATCAAAGGTAACAGTTTATCCTACCACTTTCTCTGTATATTTACCACCGTGAACTGTTGGACGCGTCGCTTAAATCGCGAGTAGAGCGATTCCCCTCTTTAAATTTAGACCAAGGTCGAGTGTGGAGCCGAATTCGAGGGGAAGAGTTGGATTTTTTATTTTTCAAATTGTCCGATTCAATCGTGCCACGAATATCAGAGGATATTTTTTATCCCTCCCCTTCTCTCCCTTTCCTCCCGTCCATTTGTTACACATAAATTTTTTACTTTTCCTTCGTGACTGACTGCCCCCCTCTCACCTCGAAATTTTATTTATTTATCTCAGACGACAACTGTATCGTCAACCGCGATAAACACGTAAATTCTCTCTCTCCCGGTGCCCATCCCTCGGATTTATTTGAATCATGAGTCTGGCGTGAGAAAATAGCGCACTTTTATTCGCGCGAGAGAGTCTTCACTGAAGAGTAAGAAAGAAGAAATTTATTTTTATTCGATTTCAGTTCTTATTGGCTGTTCGTGCCTATGACCTATGCTATACAAGGTTTATCAGTTTATTGAGGCTTATCTCAGCTCGATATAACGGCTCGCAGTATCGAGAAATGAAAAAAACAACGTGAAAAATTCATCCCTCGCAGAAATAACACAAATACAATCACTCATAGTTTATCTCACTAAAAAAACTCGTTACGTCAATTTGCGTTATCTCGACGTATGTATATTGGCTTATCTCCAATCGAGTCAACACTAATGAGGGTATTTTATTTATGATGTTTTCTTTTGGAGTATCTGAATTAATTAATTCCCTCAGCTACGCTGAATTTTTTCATTTCATTAATTGATTGATTAAGTTAACCAGTGGATTCCACTGAATGGGGATATTTCCTACAATTTTTTAATGAAGAATTTATTGGGATTAATTGCCAGACTTGAAGATGCTGAATACGCGTGAAATTCCTCAGTTTTATCACGGAATTACATTGA